AAAGTATCAAAAATAAAATCAGTTCCCAAATTCTCAACCTCACTTGCATAAATATTCTCGACTAGCATCCATAACTTGTGAAATCTGCATCCAAAAAATAAACATATGAAGGTAATTGAAACTATATTAAGTTAATATAAATTTGTTAATGAAATTAGTATTTACGAAAGAAATATACCACAAATGAAGCAGGCCAAGCAACATGAGCTCCAATAGCTTGTCCAACTGCTTTGACAAGTCCATATGATCGGATCAAGCTCTCATTAGGTTTGATTGGCACTTGAACATGTACCTCCCAATATTCAGGTCCCAATTCGTCCCCTTCTACTTCTTTAGATGCGTCTATGCTTTTAAGTACTCCGATTGCAATTGTTTCTGTTGGCCTAATGATACTTTTTAGAGCAACTATATCTCTTACCTGTAAATCAAGATTTAACTACTTAAGTAATTGTGTATTTAAAATTAATAAATAATAGTTAAAAAAAACTAGTACAAACTGCTAGAGTGAAGATGACCACAACTGAAAATTAGGGATGGCAATGGATAACCTACCCTGTGGGTATCCATGGAGACCCAACCCAAATACATGGGTTTTCCCCTCTTTTTCTTATCCATTGGGTAGGGTAGGTGATATTCTTTAATAATAAATAATAGTTAAAAAAAAAACTAGTACAAACTGCTAGAGTGAAGATGACCACAACTGAAAATGATATGGATTTCTCTAGTAGATAAGCAAGCCAAATGCTTTAATCACTTAATTGGTACACTACACTACAACAAATTATATAAAAGTAACAACCGTAAATCTTTAGACCATATCAAACAATAGCTTAAAAATTCAATAAAAACCAAAAGCACCAATCAATAACAATCAAAACCATGTCCATTATCAATATCAGAATCCCCTAACCTCAACGATGTAAATCAAATGTAATTGTGAAAAATGACAATCAACTAATTACTTTCAAGCAATATTTTCAGGGAATCAGAAAGAGCCCATGCGATAATAAATGATGGAGAGATGTCTTGTTAAAGCTTCAGAAGAAAATTAAATTAATTTTTTTTAAAAAAAAGCCCAAACTTCGTCATGTCATGATTTAGACTATGTAGCACATTTTGTCTAGATTTAAATAATGAAATTTATGTCCGCAATATTCATTCCTTGGTTAATTGTAAAATAAGTGTTGTATGCTATTCTAAAATAAAGTTGGAAGTAATGTGATATCTATGATTAGCTCTTAGTATGTACCTGAGTAAAAGAAGTATCTTGTATTGATGACAAAGACCATGCTTAATGTCGAGCTGCCATGTCGAGAGGAGTAGAAGTTGTTGTGGCCTAACCAAATTTGAACTACTTAACTTTACAAACACTCACACATAGATATATGTATGCATATATAAGTGTAGGAAAACATTAATAACTTATAAATTATATTAAAAAAATTACCTGATTAGATGTGTTTGTCAATTTATTCGGAGCATGCTGAACATGGAAAACTTTGGACCTTAGCTCTGAATTTTCAGCTTCCATAACATCCATTGTTATGTCTTGGTTTGCTTTATGACCAGATGTATCTCTCCATAAATTAGACGAGGAGACACCTAATCCATACATGCGAACTCGTCCATGTTTTTCTTTACCCATCACTTGTCCAAATGCATCATTTGGGCCCTTATTCGATAAATTTGCATTTAAGGTTGTCCTCTCATTCATTTCATCCTATAAGGTTGCAAAAAACATAACTTAATATATACATTTCAATAACTCAACACTATAACGTGAAAATTTTAACTAATCTACAAGTTCAAATGGACATATAATATTTGGTACATACTATCATTGTTTTCATTGCCTCAGGGGTTCCAGTCTCCTTTGTATAACATACTTTAAACATGTGAGCAGGAGTTGGAGAGTGTCCCAACTTATTTTTCTACAAAATAATATATTCCAAAATATAAATTATATCATTCTATCACATTATTTATACCTTATCATATTAAATATACAACATGAAAAGATGAATTAACCTGCTCCTTTCGAACACGTGGAAAACTTTTTGTTCCAGTAGTATGATTATACTTTCGCTCTGCACGACTTGCTTTGTTCTTATCACTTTGTGCCTAAAATTACAAATGCATAAATTAATGGTGTCCAAATTACAGCCAGTAAAATAACATATAATGATCAGATCGAGTATACCTTTACTTCTTCGATGGCCTAATACTTAATAAGGTGTTCCCACTTATCAACATATACTCTACTATCTTTATAATACTTTTGTTGGTCAAAACTCAAGTGGTTCTTATGATAATTTTTCTTTATGTTTGCCTTCCAGTCTTTTAACTTCTTACCAGAGCACTTCATAACCCACTTCCTATAGCATGACTTGGAAGATCAAACTTTGACTGAAAAGAGAGAGAAAAAGAGCAAGCGAGAGAGAGAGAGAGAAAGAGAGAGAGAAGAATACAATGATAAAAAATTAATCTTCCCACATAAAAAATTAAAAATAAACAAAATTATAAATAGTGTTGTTTTAATCACATTACTCATGTTTACTATTTTTCACATGTGATCATCTTTCGCACAATATTGTGTCATTTACCTGTACAAGTGCCCATATGTGATCTTTGTAATGTTCTGGGACTTTATGCCAATTCTTGTAAATGAGTGGTGCATTTTTCCCATCACGCACAATAGTTCCAATGAACGATGATAACTTTGTTGCCAATTTGTCATCAGGTTGGCCAAGTTTGTTCCAATTGACTGTTAGGCGCTCATCATCACGAGTACCCCAAATATTACGCATTTGAGTGGGACCTCTAGTTTTCTTTTGTCCACTAGCACCATCTAGTTATAAAAAATAAATAAATAATAATACTAAAAATAAATTATATACGAAGAAATAATAACATTTTTATAAGGTTTGAACTTGCATACCTGCATTATCATTGGGTTGACTAGAATTTGGTTGTATCTCAGATGGAGTTGACTCACTAAACTCACCAACATTGCCTGAGCGAAACTGAAGATATGGGTCCATAGGCTTTTTGCTTTATAGATGAATCCTAGTATGATTCAAGTAAAATAGACAAATCAAATTGTAAACTTAGAATGATCCAAATAATTTATCTGCAAATGAACAAAATACTTGAAGAAAATTAACAAAAAAAAAAATTGTGAATTCACCTTTATTGCGTTGCTATCTTGATAGTGACTAAATGTAACATATAGTGAATAAATATTTTGTAGCCACATATGAAAATCTCATAGTTAAATTAAAAACGCATTATTCATTCTTCAAACAATCAAACTAAATTAACAAAAACAATGATAAAGAAAGAGAACAAAATGAAACTATAGAATTGTTTTCAAATATAAATAACTAGCAATGTTCAATAAGTTTAACAGACACATAAGATCTAATTCTTCCTCATCTCCATCATCATGAACATCGTTGTCTCTCAACACTTGAGAAAGTGGTGCATCTACAATTGTAACAGACATGTCTGTCTGAACCAAATCAAAATTATTGTCCCCATCACCACTTTGTGTATTGCATACAACACTCTGCAAGTATGCCTCCACATTGTCCACAAAAGACCCCGCATTCATATCATGAAAATCTCTCGGATTTATCTTGATAGAAACTTGCCAATCTTTGTGTTTCAGGTCTTCTACATACATTACCTGTTCTGCTTGAGAAGCCAATACAAAAGGCTCAGCATCTTTCATTAATCGTGCAAAGTTGACTAGTGTGCAATCTTTATCTTGTCTTTTCCCTGTTTCTGACACCCATTCACCTTTAAATAACACGACCCTCTTCCCAAACAAATAATCTAACTCAATTATATCTGTTAACACACCATAAAATGTAACATCTCCAGAGACCGGATTTCCATCTCTACCACTTGCAAAGCTTCGTGTTTTTGTCATGACAATTATCCCACTATTTTGAGTTTTTCTCTTTCGCTCGATCTCCTTAGTATGGAACCTAAAACCATTTATCAAGTATCACTTATATTTTGTGAAAATTCTGTTTGGACCATGAGCCAAACATCTAAGCTCTTCAGTTATTTGACTATCCCCTGTATTATGCAATTCCTCAACCTGTTTTCAGACAATTGATGACATAACTTCTGTAAGTGTGGAATGAAATTGAAGTTAATATCAAGTCAAATTTGAAGGAACTTCAAAACACTACTTACATGTTTATCAAACTATGTTGGAAATGTTTCACTATGAATGCGATCAATGGCCATTTCACAAAGATGTGGATTTTGTATGGCAACAAGTCTACGGTGTTGTCTGTATGCCATATAAAAGATTTGTGAGTGTGTGAAAAAAGTATGTAAAATAATAATAATAATAATAATAATAATAATAACAATAATAATAATAATAATAATAATAATAATAATAATAATAATAATAATAATAATAATAATAATAATAATAATAATAATAATAATAAAATTAATAATAATAATAATAATAATAATAATAATAATAATAATAATAATAATAATAATAATAATAATAATAATAATAATAATAATAATAATAATAATAATAATAATAATAATAATAATAATAATAATAATAATAATAATAATAATAATAATAATAATAATAATAATAATAATAATAATAATAATAATAATAATAATAATAATAATAATAATAATAATAATAATAATAATAATAATAATAATAATAATAATAATAATAATAATAATAATAATAATAATAATAATAATAATAATAATAATAATAATAATAATAACATATGACTTTAATCTACTCAAGTACCTATGTTTTGGAAAGTTTAAAAAACAAAATTTTAACTCAAGTTCGATAATAACAAAAGTAAAATATAATAGTGATGGTAAAGAAATATGTAATTTAATATAAACTTTACCTCTCAATAGAATACATCCAACGATAATGCACAGGTTCTACTAATCTAGCCTCAGATGCTAAGTGAACCACCAAATGCACCATAATATCACAAAAGTTAAAGGGAAATATTTTTTTCAAATCCACAAAGTGTTATTGAAATTTGCCTTTCAAGACCCATAAAGTCTTGTGCCAAACTAACTTTAGAACATTACTCTTGAAAGAAATTACTCAACTCAATCAAAGGTGAAGTCATATGTGAACTCAACATTCCTCGAATTGCTAAAGCGAGTAATTGTTGCATCAAAATATGACAATCATGACTTTTAAGTCCGAAGATTCTATGTTGCCTTAAGTCGATGCATCGTGAAATATTTGCTGCATAACCATCAGGAACTTTAGCAGTCTTTAAAAATTTACAAAAAACATCTTTTTCTTGTTTCTTTAATGAGAAACAAGAAGGAAGCAAGATGGTTTTATTTGCTGCATTTTCTTTTGGATGGAGTTCAGGCCTCATACCTTGAAGTTTCAAGTCAAGACGCACATTTAGATTATCCTTTGTCTTCCCCTCTAAATTTAGTAGTGTTCCAAGCAAGCTCTCACATACATTTTTCTCAATGTGCATCACATCAAGATTGTGACACGCTAGATTATCCTTCCAATATGGTAATTCAAAGAATATACTTCTTTTCTTCCAATTATATGGTAATTCTGGATTAGTACTCATCTTTCCATAAGTGATATTGAAGCCATGTAACATATCCAACACCATAGAACCAGTTAAAGGATTGGTTCCAGTTCTTTTTTCTTTAGTACCATCAAAAGATCGCTCATCATCTCGAAATGCATGATGTTTGTCCAAGAATCGATGATGACCCATGTAACAATGTTTTTGGCCATGTTTCAACCACTGGAAGCATGTGTCTTTGTGGCATGAAGGGCATGCATACTTCTTCTTAGTACTCCACCCTGACAAATAAGCATAAGCAGGGAAGTCGCTGATAGTCCACATTAATGTTGCATGCAATTGGAAATTTTGTTTAATTGATGCATCATATGTCTCTACTCCATCCACCCATAATTCCTTTAGTTCATCTATTAAAGGTTGCAAATACACATCAATATTATTTCCAGGAGCACTACGACCAGGGTTAATCAATGATAATAGAAAATTGGTCTCCTCCATACACATCCATTGAGGCAAATTATATGGTATAAGAATTACAGGCCAGGTGCTATACGTGCTGCTCAATGTTCTGAAAGGGTTCACACCATCACACGCCAACCCAAGTCTGACATTTCTACAATCTGCTGCGAAATTAGGATGTAGGTGATCAAAAGTCATCCAAGCTGGAGAATCAGCAAGATGTCTCATACAACCATCATTGGTGCGACCTTCTTTATGCCACTTCATAGATGATGTTGTTTTGGATCACATGAATAACCTTTGTAGCCTTGGTATCAAAGGAAAGTAATGTAGAACCTTAGAAGGTGTTTTATAGCTGTCTTTTTTAAAGGATGCCTCGTTGCCTGAATCATTTTGCTCTGTTACATACCTAGATATATGGCAAACATAATATTCAAAATCAGTTTTGTGCTCATTCCTACACAACATGCAATCATTGGGACATGCATGAATTTTCTCATAACTAAGTCCTAACTCCATGACTATCTGCTCAACTTCATAAACAATATTAGGCAGTGTTACACCCTCTGGGAATGCCTCCTTCAATAACTCTAATAACATGGTGAATGATTTATTACTTCATCCGCCTAAATTCTTGATATGAAATAACTGAATGATGAATGAGAGCTTTGTAAAATTCCTACATTGTGGATAAAGCTCCTTTTGTCCATCATGTATCAACTTGTAGAACTTCTCTACTTGTGGATTTGGTTTATCTCCCAGATCTTTAGGGTTGTCTCCATCGACTCTATCATCGTCATTTGAGATTCCAAATGCCTCGTGTACTAACCCATGTGTATCAATATTTAATTGTGGCATATTCTGCATGTGCGTATCAAGACCTGTTGTAGCAACAGATGATGCTTCACCATGTAAAACCCATTCAGTGTAACCCTTTGTGAAGCCATCACATACTAAGTGATCATATGCAACTAATCGAGTGACGGGAGGTGTAAGTCCACACTTGATGCATGGACATATGATCTTATCCTCATA